AGCATCCAACACCAAGGGACCCCAGGTGGAGGAATGAAAATTCAGAGGTAACAGGGAGGTAAGATAACACGCATCTTCCATACCTCAGCCGTGCTGGTGCTTGGAAGACCGGAATTTACAGTCACTGCGAGCTGCAACGGTAACCCAGGATCCATGTCAGCCCGAGCCCTCCCCTTTCTCCTGCGCCGAAAACGAGGCTTGGAACGCACAAGCCCGGAGCCCGGAAATTACGTCACACTCGGCCGGAAGTGACGTACGCGGCCACTCGGTCTGGCCATGGAACATGTTCCCGGAGCCCCTGAGAGCCGCACAGACCCCTCTGAACGGCGGTCCAGCAATTCCCCTGACCTAGCCAAGGGTGTTTCGTCCTCCCGGTCCCGGCCCGCACTGGGCACTGAAGGAGAAAAGAAAGCCAGCCTCATCTCCTGACAGCGCTAGGAGAATCCCTGGGGCTCACAACAGGTAGGCAATCCTACCAATCTGCCCTACATAGGCAGCCATTAATTAAAAAGAGACTTCCCGGGCAGCATTACCCCATGGAAGCCCCTCTCAGCGTTCTGTGACACGCTCCCCAGCTTGACTGAGGAAACACAAAAGACTGAGGGAGTGGAGGAGAGGAGGGCCTTTTAAGGAGTTTAAGTGACGTGTTTCCTGTGTGTGGGGGAGGAGATTCCATCTCGTGATGCTGTCCTGGAAGACGTTATGGAAACTAGAGGTCTGGTGTGCGCAAGTTGTAATGCAGACTGGGCACAGCTTCACACCTCAGATGACAGAGAGACAAAGCTGATGATATCTACACTTCAATTACTGTAGTTTTATGGTACCACATGAGTGACACATTCAAGAAAGGCCACCAGAAAAGGTACAAGGAAGGCTCTTTCTCCTTAGAACAATTATTCTAGAACAAGGAAATAATGGCAAAAAGATCACCATGAAAATAAAATAAGTAAAAAGTGTGGGTATAACCTGTATGCATTCCAAGTCCCCCACAAATATTGAGAGAGTATATACAGTATAGTGTGTGTGTGTGTGTGTGTGTGTGTGTGTATATATATATATATATATTGTAACAAGGACACTCCACTGTAGCCAGGAAATTCAAGTAAAACACAGCTTTATTAAGGGCAAACACAAAAAGTCTGTTTTCATCAACAGGGTGGACTTCCCCTGTTGTACAAGACAGCTTCCAGCAGCAACATAAAGGACAGTCATTTGCTCATAACATGGCCAACATTTCATGTATTTCCTATAATAATCAGCCTTCTTCAGCATATACAGTACTTAGTAGCTTTCCTCAACTCTAAGACTCTCAGCACACCTCTGTGTGATACTCACACTGCTCTACCAGCAGTGGATCACGGACTCTCTCATCGGTGACCAACAGGTCCCTTGGGTTACTGACCTTCCAGACCTCTCCCCTCGTGGGCACTCACACTGCTCTCCCAGCAGTGTGTCCAACAGGTCCCTTGGGTCACCGACCTTCCTGACCTCTCCCAGCCTCCTCCGGCTGTTCCTCATGCGTCCAGCACGCACCCGAGTCTGCCTGTGTCAGTGTGCTTCCTGAACACACAGAACTCCAAAACAACTCTCTGAGCACTGGGCTAGCTTCCTAATGAGGCTGCTCTCAGCCACCTGATCAGCCCAGGCTGGTCATTGGCAACACCTGGCCCCCGGACTAGAGATCATTGGGCCACTCTGGGGAGATCTCAAACGTGCAATTCATGCAAGACAGCCCAAGAATTTACAGGACCTGGAGGAAGAATGGGCAGCTTTACCATCTGAGAAGATAAAGAGCCTCATCCACACATACCACAAATTACTTCATGCTGTCATTGATGTTAAAGGGGGCACCACACCGTATTAAGACCTGGGGCATGGGGTAAACTTTTGATCATTTGGGTAGTTTCTGTTGTTGAAAAAGAGTAAACACAGTTGATTGATAATAAATGGCTTCAGCCAAACACTACCCATGAGTGACAAAGGTTTTCGTGTTATCATTCATATTCTCTGAAAAATGGCCAGGAAATCATAAATTCTGTCAGCGTATGTAAACTTATGAGCACAACTGTATATATAGATATATATAGATATATCTATATATATCTATATATACATATAGATAGATAGATATATATTTTAATGTTCAGCAGCAATAGCAAGTGACATACTTCAGGATTAAACATATTTACATTTTACAGTCATAAGTATTTTGAAATGAGACTTCAGGCTCTACAATTTTCATACTTATTTCCTCTTGGTTATTTAAATGGTTACTATGGAAGTGATTATATAACTGTAGGAGACATTGTTATGAGCAGAAAAGTGTTGGTGGCCTGCTGATCAGAGCGCACATTTTAACAGAAATCTTCCCAAAAGATGGATTTAATATTTTATGCATGTTAGTCACCTGTAAAGGCTTCCCTTGTGTGGATATTCAAAAGCCTTGAGGCTGCTGCTGTGGGTTGCCATCTTGGATGTGATGTCAGCAGCCCCAGAGCTGTCACTCAAGTGACACTCTATAGTATTCCACTTTGATCCTTCACTGGGCAACTACATAAAAGGTTATATAGGAAGGTGAGGATAGAAATGATGGAGCTGAGTCAGCACAGAGAGTAATTAGACATTCTCAGAAGCGGAGAAGGCTATGACATGCAAGGAGAAAGGGGGCTGTGCTAGGGAATTGACTACTCAACTTTTCTAGCTAGTTCAAAAACACATTGCAAATTAATATTATATTATACTGAATTTATAGAACACCAACAGTTTGTACAGTGCTTTACAATATAAGGAAGACATTACAGTTACAATACAATTCAAGATGGTTATGAGGGCCCTGCCCATCAGAGCTTACAGTCTAAAAGGGAGTAAACAAAATAGTTTATGGAAAAGAAAAACACTGTAAATGTCTATTTAAAAAGCTAATGACATTTCTGTGCATTTACCTGCAATTTTAGATGGTGTCAAGGTCTCCTTAAAGACCTATTTCTGTATAGTAGACTATTTACCACTTCATGGTATACTATACCAACTATGGGGCACTATTTCTCCTACCGATACCAACAATGGGGAACTATTCCTTCCTCGTACACCAAAGATTGGTCATTATTTCTCCTCACATTAACCACAGGTGCTTGGTAATTCTTTTACTCCCACTGCTCAACAACCCTGGGGTATTTCTTTTTAATTTCCACTGACCACCAAGCCTGAGGCATTGTTGGCTTCGACTGCCTAGTTTCAACAGTCCGGCAGCCCTAAAATCTGAAAGACAGTAAACCTGCCCTTTGCTCATAAGGTTTGAGGACCCCTGGTTTAGAGGAAGTTTCAAGCTTTCAATATAGGTCAGGTCTGTTCTTCAGATATGGTAATAGCATGCCTAAACAGCAGCACTGAGATGCTTGAAAAACTTACTGATCAATTAACACCATGCAAATGTGCAATAGAAACAACATAAATTCAAACAAATCTATGCAGTCATAAAACAGATGAAAACAATAAATCTGAACAAGTGATTGACAAAAAATATTAATGACATAAAAAATACTAAGTGCAACATATATAGTGTCCATGTGCCAACAACCATCATCAATAAGTGGTTGCACATACAATTAACATTTCTTTTTTTTAATCTAGATTGTCCAAGGTTTCCACTACTCTTCCACCACTGGAAGAGTAGTGGAAGAGTGGTGGAAACCTCGGACAATCTAAATTTATGAAGGAATGTTCATTTTATGTGTGACCACTGATTGATGGTGTTTTCTGCCACATAGGCACTATATACCTTGCACTTAGAAGTTTGTATGTCATTAATAATTATTGCTAATCACTTGTTTATTTAGATTTATTGTTTTCATCTGTTTTATATATTGATAGATTGTTTGAACTTATGTTGTTTCTATTGCACATTTGCATGGTGTTAATTGATCAGTAGGTTTATATATTGGAAGCGCGGAACCTTGTGATTCATTTTGAGTTGTAGTTTTAACACTATTAGTGCTCGCAGGGGTTTCATTTGCAGATTTGCACCAAGTTAGACCATAAATCTTTTATCATCGCTTAAAAACTTGCAGTTTTGAACCTGAGCTCAAGGCAGATAAAACAAACAACTATTAATGCAAGTCTGCATTTATTGATACATCATTCATTTTCTTAATGCAACAAGTTTAAGTACCTGATTCTGACTTGATATCAGCCTCTACCACCTATACCACAGCACTTACATGAGCAAAGCAAAGAGAAAGGGAAGGGCAGGCATGCTAAATGCAAATGTGTTGACAAGAATATGCTGATAGGAGGAGGGAGCAGGAGTAGCATACAAATTAATCTGCTCCCGCTCTTTCTTTGTCCAATCAGCAGGCTGGAAGTTCAAAGGAAACCACTGTATTCCTTAACTATAGGTGGTGTCATCCTCCCATTACTGTATACTGGGGCTGTGTAAATCTCAGGACTGAACTGACAGAAATACAAATTCTCTGGCAGATAAAACAACTCGGTTATATGCAAGTGATCTGTGTATTTACCCTTTTTGCCTGGAGTTGACCTTTAATATTGTCGATACCAATAAAAAGGTACCAATGAGTTTAAAAGTACACAGGCAATAAAAAAAGTGATCAGTTTTGATTTGTTTAACATGTATGTAGATCTACGTTTAACAGGCTTTAAATGGTAGTATGTATGTTCTTTTTCATACCTATATAAAGTTAATCTTCCACTTTAAACATTTCCAAGCATACCCCCACAGCTGTGTGCTTTGGATAGTCATATGCAGTTTGCGGTACAAGCTTCTGCCATGGAATTTAATGAACATGGTTACAGCTGACATTTCTCAAGAAAGAAATGTTTGACAGTAGCTATAAATTGCCATTCAGTTTTTAATCTGGCTGAAGCATTAATGGGGTACTTTTCAGTCTTAAATGACAGATTTGCTCTCATTTTGTTTTTTGAAAATGCAGTTCACACTGTGACTCAGTTAAACTATAGTAAAGAATATATGAATGACTTACCCAATCATATGATAGAATCCAGCAACCCCTTGCAATTCCTAAAATAACATTCAATGTACGCCGTGCACTTCCAGAAACTACATGTGAAGTACTTTCACAAACGCTGTCTGAAAAGATGAAGCCTCCAAGGTTTTTCACAACTTGTATTATAGTACTTTGTTTCCTTAAAAAAACAAAAATTATTGAAAATAAAGACACTATTTTGTTTTGAGATACATCATATCAACAGTGACAGCAAATATTTTAAAAAATAACAGCAACAAATTTTACATGAATGCAGGTTTATATCTTTTACTTTTACTTTATTTACCAGCAGTCTAAAGGCACTGCACACTGCACGCAAAGCGGTGGCCTGCTGCCTTCGCGAGCAGTGTGTCATGTAATTTTCTCCTCTGCGTGTCAGCTTGCGAGATTTCGCATAGCTGAGTGTGCAGAGATGAAAAATGTGCGTCAGCATGCAACGTCTGGCTGGTTACGCACGAGCCGATTGGCTGAAGGTGCAGTCAATCATCTGCCTGCACTCAGCTCACACACTGCACGCAAAGCTCCGTGCCGGACAGCTTTGCTTCGCTCTGCATGGCTTTGCATGCAGTGTGTCACGGGCTTAATGCTCTATAAATATCTGAATTGTGCTGTATGAGGCATGTTAGCAACTGTGGCACCAGAGAATCTTCTGAAAATATTTCTACTCTTACAAGGGATTTCCAGTATAAATGTAATATTTAAAACTGTTTCAGTAAACTCCAATAAGCCCACTACTAAACCAGCAAAGAGAAGTGGTAAAATGGCAATCCTTCTGCTTCAATAGTTTACTGACCCAGATATATATACAGATAATCAATCCTGACTTGTCTCTAATAGTCCTGATCAATACACAGTTGCCTCAGCAAGTTTCTATGTATTGTAGCAGGGATTAGGATGTCAGTCCAAGGGGCTCGCAACTTTAAAGTGGAAGTAAGCACTTTCGGTTTTTGTCCCAAAGTGCAAGTATGCACAGCACATTAGGGCACACGTACCTTACAAGGGTGTCTTTCTCCAGCGCTGTCGGACCAACATTCGGTCCCCAGCTCTGCCCACCGCTGCCGACAAAAGTCCTCTTTGGCCATTGGGTTTACACACACAGGAGTTACATCCTTCTCGGCAAACAGCCCATTCAAGGCACCTTAGAGATGCTGTGAATGGGCTGTGTGTGCACTGCATGGTGCATGCACCATACCATGTACACAGAAAATAAAAAAAAATGGCTGGGTCTTAGTTGCTCTTTTAGATGTTTAAAGTGTGGGAAGCAATCAGCAGATTTATACCATGCATTTTGGAGCTGCCCTAAGATAAAGTCCTTTTGGAAGGATATTGCTCAGTATACTCAGCAAAACTTGGTTAATTATTTACCTCTGTCTGCAGCTTGGGCAATCTGTGGAATCTTAGATCTGCATGGAGTGAGAATTTCTGCTGAATGCAGAAATCTACTGTCTATTATATCTTTGGTGGGTTCAGAAAACAATCCTGCATCAATGGCTATATTTTGGACCAACTTCTTTAACTCTTTCCTGAGCAAGTCGATATTCGTATTTCAAAACAACTGGACTGAGACAATGCTCAAACTCAAACGTTTTTGAGGTATGGGAATCCTTTATAGACTCTTTATTAACTATTACGATATGAAAACTTACACAATCTTTTATTTTGACACTGTAGTATACTAAGAGGGTGATCTGTAATGTTTTTTCTTTGCTGCCCAAATGTAACTTTTCTTCTTTTTTTTTCTTTTACTTCTATTACTGTATTTATTTGTGAGGTAAACTTGGAATGTTGGTATATGTCCTGTTGTATACTTTAGATGTTATTCTTGTTATTATGTGGGTTTTTTTTCTATTGTTGTTGTTCTTAAAAAAAAGAATAAAGATTAAAAAAATTGCTGGCGAAGAGAAGACAAATTATATTGGCAGAAGAGACTGTAAATTTAATCTGCCATAAATCCCTCCCAGTGATTTTTTATTTTACGGACTTAACTTCTGCTGTAAAGGGCTCAACAAGGGTTTTTTTCTTACGCTATACTTAAAAAACAAAACAAAAAAAAAAACAGGTTTTAGCTATATATCTAAAACGTTATTTATTTTTTAAGTATAGCTCAGGGAAAAGCCCTTGTTGAATTGTATTGCTGTTTGTGTCCTTCCTGGGAAGCTCGGTGACTGGAAGTAAAAGTAAGGGAAAATCCAAACTTTCGGCTGGTCATCAGAACAAGAATAGAGGTAACGTTTTCCAATAGAAACTATAGGCTATGGGAGAGGGAGGGAAATCTCCCCAACGGGGAGATTTCTGACTGGCATTATGAGACTGCTTTACTGTCTGTCACATATTGAGAATAAACAATAAACGTCCCAAATTTTGGATGCCAAGCATAGACTTTTTTTATGAACTATAACTTTAATTTAGCTGGGCAAGACTGTATAAGTGGATTTGAGGTTTCCCTAGTTGAAGTATGTTCTTTATTGTTAATATTGTTAACATATCAGCAGTGGTAGCATCCATTTTTCTAACCTGACAGATTTCCCTTTAGGCCATGTTGACTGAGTAAATTACAGATACCATTTCAGGCTTTAACAGTTTTTCTTGTCAGGCTGTCTTGGTATGAACCAAACTAAAGCGGCTCATATACACATGAAATGAAATGACTAGCTCACAAAGAAATTAAACTTTATAAGATTGTTTTTTCAGTATATGTTTAAAACTGGATCTTCCAATCCTTGAAGATATTTCTTCTGCTACTAATGTGGGCAGATTGAAAATTCAGATATAGAATATCACCCTATCAACCATATATTTTGATAGGAAGCAACCAATTGAACTTGCCCTGTTATTTTTCTAGTGCAGGATAGAAAACATCTTAACAGTTTCACTGGAACACCACTTTTACTGTTTTTCTCCAGTTTGTATAGATGAAGCCCAACATGGCCTTTATACTACCAACAAGGACAGTCTCTTTGCCTATTTGTTCAGATCGGATGTGACGTAAAAGGTTCTAACAAACTGTAGATTAAGGAATGCAACAATAGAAATTTTGTATGAAAAAAATGTGAATAAAAGGTTCTGCTTAGATCACTATATAAGGCTA